AGAGCACTCGCCGGCGTTCGTCATGACGGAGACGTCCGGTCACACCAAAACAAGCGAGCACATATTCATCAAAGAATCACTCGCGCGTACAAATGCATACGTTGGCGTTCATCAATAGGGAGATACGGATATTCAAACGGTGTTTGGGGGGCGCAACAGGGCGTTACACAACTTGAGAACCTCACTCTTTTTTTTATTGCTTTGTGTGAGAATTTGGTGTGTCTGGGTGGGATGGGAAAGAGGTCAGCCCCGATGCACAACTCGGCATCTCCAGATCTCAATGGGGAGTTTCTTGGTCGAATGGGATGCCTGGGTCGGAGTTCCGCTGCTGTCATCGTCAGCAGCGCCCACCCCGTTGGCAGGTGTGGTTTGTCGTGCATAAGCCGCCACGGCGGCGCCGTTGAGGGGGGAGAAACGACTGATGAGGGGTTTCCAACGGTCAGGTAGCTCTGGACGACGAATTGAAGCTCACGAATACACATAATTCCATCTTCAGTTGCGTCTTTCGAAGAGTGAACTGTTTGCCAGGTCGACCACAAAAAACATCGCGAGAGACAACGCAAACCAAGACGTTGTTGCCTTTCCAGGTTTCCCAAACCTTTTGCAATAACACTTACACAAGAACTCGGAACAAGGTGATCAATACCTGACGCCTAAGGACGCCCTCGTGGTGCTGACGGGGAGGCTTCTGTCTCTGTCTCTCTCGGAGACAATTCATCCACCCCACGTGGTCATCCGTTGGTCGCCGTCTCGTATTGCAGCCACATGCGGCCATGCGCCGCCGTTCGTAAAAGATAAGCCGTTGCCCCAGAATATTGTCTATGCCTAAAATGAGCGCTATTGTCCACGATGATATGATGTGGTAGTAGTAAAGTCACCTTCACGAAGTAGCGAGTTCAAAGAAGTATGATGAGCTAGCCTATAGCCGAGCACGCGGCTGGGTGCTCATAAGAAAGTAGCATAGAAGGACACATATGCTCTCATTCAACAAATAATAAAGTCAGTCCACTGTTTTCCAATTTTTGCCTCTAAGATTTCCCTTGAGCGGCAATGCAATCCAAATTGGCTTCTGGTTCCAGTGCGCTTTACTGCGCTCAGCGCGGCTAAGTAACGAGGCAGTTGAACGTTTCTCATTGAGCCTTTTCTTCATCACACTCCAGAGTCTCGACCCAAATACATGCCTGTCGTCAAAGAAGCCCCGCGCGATCCTTCTGAACATGGTAACAGCCCTCAGGACTTCTGGTCACCACAGACAGCCGAGATACCACGCTATCAGGTGTACTCCAACATACAATATCGTCAGGGCAGTGAACAGGACTCCGAATACAGTGACCGCGATAATCAACCAGGACAGCGTGCCGTTGCGCTCATAGGCGAGATAGACGCGGTAAAAGAAGTAAGTGAAGCAGCCTTGAGCAAAAAGCGCGGAGAACATGGTATACACCGCGTGCCAGTCGACCTTGCCGTTGCTCTTAATCCATAGCTTGCTGTTCGCCTGATTCTTGACTGGCAAACAAAGAAATCAGTACTTCGCTTGACAGGGAGTGAAGAAACCACCTACCAGCGAGCTCTTTATTGTCGCCATCATCAGTTGCGCCGCTGCTCAGGCTGGTCTCGTGGTCGGTCATGATGGTACGCGTGCCAATTGGAACGTCGAAGTGAGTGTACGGTGTGGGGTTATGAGCATTTGAAAACGCACGTGGTTTAGGAATAATCAACAGCCTGTATATGAAGAGGCACGAAGGGTAGACGTGGAGAGGTCCCGCAGCGTTGAGGAATCGGTATGTACCGTTGTGTTGGTTGGAAGTTGACTCCACGAATATGTGTGGCGGGGCAAGGCAGACAAACACCCAACAACCCCAGACGCGTTCGCGTTGGAGCTGATGAATTCAAGCTTGGCACCGAACCATGGTACTCGGTAAACATTATTTGGTTGTCGAATTTCATATTAAATCATCGCAGCCCTGTTGTCCTTGCTCGGTGGTTGACGTGGTGAATATGTTTGCTTTTGTTCTTTCACTTTCATCAGACCTCGAATTCTTTCAAAGTCAATGTTAGTCAACCCGATAGGAAAAACGTGAGACTATTCTTTTCTCAGTCTGACTTGCCGCAGGCTAAATTTGCGGGTGTAGCTAAGATCAATGTGGTGGTCAGGTCATCCGTTGGTCGTCATCTCGTGCCGCAGCCATGCACCGCCGTTCGTAAAAGATAAGCCGTCCCATGTTTCCTCCCTGCTTGGTCTGATCTACCCACTTACTCAGTCATTCGCTCGCTCATTCACGTTCCCGTCGGGCAAAGGTTACAGCATCGCGAGGCGGCGGGAGGGAGGGCTGGCAGCGCGTCATGTGGCTACCGTCTCGCAGAATCCTCTCATCACGAACTCGTGCCCGCAAGAAAGGTATCGCAGTTGATGACAAACCCATACGAGCCCTGACAAAAAGTCTTAATAAGCGACTCATAGTCCTACGATAACATCTTGTAGTCGCAACCACTGACTCAAATCCAAACGGAGGGGAGCGTTGACTTACAGCGACGTTGTAAAGACACACCTCCGGCGCCCCAGGCGTCTTCGTCCCGCAGCAGTCCTCGACCATCACGCAGTCCCAGCCGCCGTTGTACGCATCAGTAAGGGTCCCGAGCACGCACTGGTCCGTATTGACCCCGGCGAACAACAGTGTCCGCACCCCGGCCCCGTCGCCGTCCAGATACTTCCGGAGCGGCTGCTCCGGGCTCCACATGCCGGACATCCTGTTCTTGTCGCAGTGCACGTCCCCGGGACGGGCGAACCGCTTCAGCGGCTCGTAGATGTCGGCGTTCCAGCTGCCCTTGACGAGACACCGCCCCTTGCCGTCGCCTAGATCTCCGCCGAGACCGAGACGTGCGACCTTGTCGTCGGCGGAGGCGCCGTGGATGAGTGTGCGGGAGAAGCCCCGCTGGACGCTGGCAGGCATCACGGCGAGATCATCGTCGGTTAAGCCCCAATTCAGCCAGATTACCTGACGGTTCAAATCAATGAATGACTTGCTTGCAAATAACAAAAGACCAAGCCAACGTTACACCCTGCTGCGTAAGCCGCTACCGCCCAGCTTACCTTACCCTACCTTACCTCTCCGATGCAGTGCGGGTGCAGCAGCAGCTCTCCCACTCTCTGCCGGGCACAAAGAAACCCCGGCGTCGAGTCCGACTGGCGGGGAAAATGGAGAAAAGAAAAAAAAAGCGCGGCCGCCGTACCTGGACGCCTAATTCGCGGCATTTCTCAATGACCTTCTCGGTCTTGTCGACCGCGGCCAGCCCGGCGGGATGGTCGCGACAGTCTGGGTGCAGAAAGTAATTCTGCATGTCGACAATCACGAGCGCCGTGCTGTGGGGGTTCACGGATATGAAGGTCTCCGTGGGGCCCTGGGAGGTGCCGACCGTCCAAGCCGGAGACCGGCCCCGGGTGAGATCATAGGTTCGCGACGATGTCTCGTAGCGCCATTCGTCGCCCGGCGGGCCAAAGACCAAGTCTGGGCGGCGCATGACGAACACGGCGAGAGGGTACCAAAGGTCCGAGTTTTCTCCTCGGATATTCTAGCCCCGAATGCGCTGCGCTGCGGGCGGGTATAGTCTAGGTCTTTCCCCGATTGCGGGTAACACGATGCGGTCAAGGTGAGAGGAAGTTGGGTCAATCGTGGGCCTCACGTCAGGTGAAGGAAGAAAGACGACGACTATCATTCATGCGACGCCTGAGAGTCGGTAGATAACCAACCGTGCAGCGGTGTTATCGGGTGTAAGTCTAAACGTCAAGGCCGCTGTCAATCTTTTCTCTCTGTGACTTTGAGCGCCCTATCTGGCAGGCCGTAGAGACCGGAGCGGCTATCGCCCGATCCCGGCGTGTCAATGTAACAGACGGGGTATCATAATTCGAACGCATGCTGCAGCAAAATTTGGGGGTTAAAAAACATCAAACCAAAAGCCAAAGCACTTAAACTCCAGCTGCGTGTGCTGGCGGTTGAGACGACCACAGGCGCATCCATGCAAGCGATATCAAACAGGTAGGTGACCGACCGAGGTAGGTACGCTGTCGCATTCGATGCACCCAGACTCCAGTGTTGAGGACGAACGGAAAACAAGTCGGGGCCGACGCCCACGAGTTCGGTTTGTTTGGTTCACACTAGGCATGGCGGATCTGGTGGTAGGAGGGGCCAGTAAGTGTCGGGGAGACCAAGGGATCTCGCGTCGGGCACCGTCGCGATTCGTGGAGCGAGATGCGCTTCCCCCTCCCTCAACAAGAAGCGACGATGTTACGGGATAAAGGCAGGGGAAAAAGCAGAAGGCCCAACGACGTCCCCGGCTCTCCCACCACGTGAACGCACTCAGAAAAATCTCCGCGGGACGAGTGAGCAGTTCAATGCGGCCAATGCCCCTCCCGGCGCGCCTGGACCTGCAAAGCGAAAGGGTTGGCGCTTCTAGAGACTTGCGGCAGAGCAAAGGAAACAATCGGACTGGGCAACGCTGGGCGACTATCGTCAAAGGTGTCGCGGGGGGATGGTCGTCGTCGGGTGAGGATCGGCGTCGTGATTGGAGCGGGAAGTCGCAAAGAGAAAAAATCGGTCTTACAGCGACCGAACAATTCCCACACAGCGGCGGCGCCCCACCCCCCGCCAACAAGCTTCGACCCTGCGTGACGTTGCGACGTGGGGAACTGGGGTTGACTATTCGCCTCGACCCCTCGAGAAAGGAGGGGCTGTTAAAACATCGAGGGGCGCGGGAGAAGCTCGTCGTCAGTAGACCATACACTTGTCAACAAGTTATATATCCAGCCGAGCCCAGAGCCTGTAGACCAGACCCCGTCCGGCTCGATTGACCCTTTGCTTCGCTTCGTCCATTCTGTCCTGTCCTGTCCCTCCCTTGCCTTTACACACTGCTCTCGTTGCTGCCAGCCGTCTGGTCTCGTCGCCGCTGAACCATTTGGAGCCCTACCAGACCACACACACAAACACACACGCACAGCTTCCACAATGTCTCCCTCGGCTGTTGATCCTCCCGCGTCCGTTGGCGCCGTCAAGCCGTCCAAGGCTAACATCGGTGTCTTCACCAACCCCGCACACGATCTCTGGATCACCGAGGCCGAGCCCAAGTTGGAGGCTGTCCAGGCCGGAGAGGGACTGCAGAATGGCGAAGTCACCATTGCTATCCGAAGCACCGGCATTTGCGGGTAAGTCACCAGCTCGAAAACCGGAGAGACTTTGAACAAGGCTGACCAGACGCATAGGTCCGACGTTCATTTCTGGAAGCACGGATGCATCGGACCCATGATCGTCGATGGCGACCACATCCTCGGCCACGAGTCCGCCGGTGAAATCATTGCCGTCCACCCCAGCGTCACCCACCTCAAGCCTGGCGACCGAGTTGCCGTCGAGCCGAACGTCATCTGCAACGAATGCGAGCCGTGCCTCACTGGTCGCTACAACGGTTGCGAGAAGGTGCAGTTCCTGTCCACCCCGCCGGTCCCGGGCCTTTTGCGGCGATATGTCAACCACCCGGCCGTGTGGTGCCACAAGATTGGTAACATGACATACGAGAACGGTGCGATGTTGGAGCCGCTGAGTGTGGCGCTGGCTGGTATGCAACGTGCCGGTGTGCGTCTCGGTGACCCGGTGCTCGTCTGCGGTGCGGGACCCATCGGTCTCATCACCCTTCTCTGCGCCAAGGCTGCCGGTGCCTGCCCGCTGGTTGTCACCGACATCGACGACGGCCGTCTGGCTTTTGCCAAGGAGCTGGTGCCGACGGCCATTACCCACAAGGTTGGGCGCGGCACTGCCGAGGAGGAGGCGAAGCGCATTGTCGAGTCCTTCGGCGGCATTGAGCCCGCTGTGGCCATGGAGTGCACCGGCGTTGAGAGCAGTATCGCTTCGGCCGTGTGGGCGTGCAAGTTCGGCGGCAAGGTCTTCATCATTGGTGTTGGACGCAACGAGATCAGCTTTCCCTTCATGCGTGCCAGTGTGCGCGAGGTGGACATCCAGCTGCAGTACCGCTACTGCAACACCTGGCCCAGGGCGATTCGTCTGGTGGAGAGCGGCGTTATTGACCTCAGCAAGCTGGTCACGCACAAGTTCAAGCTGGAGAACGCGCTCGATGCGTTCGAGACGGCCAGGGACCCGAAGACGGGCGCCATCAAGGTCATGATCCAGAGCTTGGAGGACTAAACTGCGGGTAGGGAATGGTTGGTGTTTTGGGCATAATACGGCGGTGTTGGCGATCTGGTGTCATGGATGGTCATTTGATATATTTATAGAGACAATTTTCCAATGATTCGTAATCTGCCGTTGTGTGAATGTTTTGCCTGTAATTATGGTGGTGCTTGCATAGAATTGGCGTGGAAGACGTTCGTGAAAGTTGGAAGACCAAAATGATGTGAAGCCACCAAGAGTGAGCTGTGGAATAAAATCACGAGGAAATCAACTTTTGGCAAGCGCATCATGATAGAACCCCGTTCTTACCCATTGCCCTGCGTGTCCTTCAAGGGTAACTCCCTTTGGTGCGCAACTTCCGCCCAAGGAGAACCCCCACATCCGGGCTAGTTTTGCAATCTCATTGGCTATGTGCCCTCAAAGCGGCATAGCCCGTTGTACCGGCCGGCGCGCCTGTTCCTGCCCTTGCGGAAGAGGCAAGGTACATGGAAGGAGTGGCGCACTGGGAGCTCAGTGTGGTAATTGAACTGTTTTTTTTTTTTTTTTTTTGGTCTTTTCAGGGTTGGTGCAATTGGACTGCCACAACTTGGGCAGCAGCACAGCACCAACAACACAGCGGCGACAGCAGCAACAGCAACAGCAACAGCAACAGCACCTCAGCGAGTCGTAGAACGCACGGGCCACCTGTCCGGCTCGCAACAACAGCACAAGCGAAATCTTCCGAGAGGTCGGAGGCAGAGACTGACAGTTTGTGAGGGAAAGAGCTCTTTTTTTCCTCACGCAAAAATACCCATCACCACCAACTCCCCTCCTCCATCAATTGGCCGCCAACGAAGCTCCCCCCTCACCCCCGGAGCCGTTCAATTCGATCCATCTCCGACCGACTTCAGATCCACCGGTTTTGTTCCTCCAGATTTTCGATCCCTTCCCTCGGCCAAAATGTCTTCCGCCCTCGCTCGTCCGTTGATGCGGACCACCGCCCGCACTCTCCCTTCCCGCGCTGCCGTCCGCTTCGAGTCAACCGCCTCCAAGAAGGCCACCGATGCCACCAAGGATGCTGCCGCGAAGGCCAGCGAGTACTCCGCCAAGGCTGCTCAGGGCCTGAGCCGCGCCGCCAGCGCTGCTGGTCCCGCCATCTCTGGTGCCGTTAATGCCCTCGGCAAGGTCGGCGGCCGTACCGGCAAGGTTATCGGCTTCATCGAGAGTACGTGACATCTGGGATATGAACAGGAGTACGCCCTGAGGAAGCGTCGCCATGCGTATTCCGAGTGTTGTGACAGGATCAAGTGCTGACCCAATTGCGCTTATAGAGCAGGTCCCCTGGGTCGTCTACTACTCCCGCGTCGGTCTCGAGCTCTCCAAGATTGTCTTCCACGGCCAGAAGATGGCTCCTCCGTAAGCTCTCGTGAATACGCGACATCTAGGCTTTCCAGCATCTGACTGTCGTCCGCAGCCCCGTCTCCACCTTCCAGACCTACTTCCAGACTGCCGTGAACTCCCTCAAGAACCCCAGCGGCCTCCTCAGCTCCGCCTCCGCGACCGCCAGCTCCGCCGCCTCGGCCGCTGCCGCTGCTAAGCCCGCCAACCTGGCCTCGCGCATCAACACCGCTACCGTCGCCACCGGTGCCGTCGTCGCCGCCGAGTGCCTCGGTTTCTTCACCGTCGGCGAGATGATTGGCCGCTTCAAGATCGTCGGCTACCACGGCGAGACCCACGCTGCCCACCACTAGACGAAGCAACCGTCGGAACTCGCCCATTCTCGAAAACGAACCTGTGTAAAAGAAAGGGATGGAGGAGATGTGTTTCTAATTAATTCACCAGCATCTAAAGAAGGAGCGGAAATTGGTGGTATCGGGATATAGACACCGGGGTTAGGGGGTGTTATGGAACCAAATACGCATGAATGCTCAATGACCCGTGTAGGAGGTTCATGTAACCCAGAAAGCCGCGCCCCCTAGGTAACTAGGGAGCGGACATGTCTGGGAGCGCGAGACGAGGAATTACGCTTCGTTGGGACCTTGGATCTGGTCCCTTTGAGCGTCCTCAACAGGCACCTTTTTATTTTCCTTATGTAGAATCTGTACATCACGTCAACGCAGCCACCCAAGCTGCGAAACCCGCCTCCTGTGGGTAAATACCAGGAAACCCTTCAACAACGCCTGTTTGAAAGTGAGCCTCCTTGAATTTTGCATATCGAATCGGACATGGTTGCAGAGGCACGACATGAGCGGGCGAAGAGAACGTCCATGTTCACTCCGAGTAGTCTATGGCTACTGCTACGATATTCCCATGGCTTCTGCTCATGTTGTACCTCATAATGTCGTAAGACGTTCTATGTTCGTTGTTTATCTTCTGAAGCAGACAAAAGGAATATGCTGAGCCAGCTCTCCTTCACATGGATGGAGCACTTGGGTGAAACTGCTTTACTCATGAACAGCTTGTCCACAAGATATTCCACAGGGCTAAGTACCGGTTTGGATGGAACGCTCAGGCAATCCGAAGAAACTAAGCCTCTAGAACGTGGTATTCTTGTCAGTAAAGACTGAAACTTCCATGTGGCATGCTGATGCCATTTCAGAAGTCCTTCCTTAGCACGTTATGCCTCCTTTCTTGGAGACGCCTTCTGGTTGACGAACAGAATCGGGCATCTGACGGATAGAATATCTACAAGTAGAGTGATTGAAGAATATGAAACCGTCTGTCCGCAGAATATGGCGCGGAGACGGACTCATGGTGACCATGCTGCCGTAGCCCTTCGCACAATCGAAGCTCCATGTGCATTTACATAATTTGTCGACAAGCCTCAGAAGTGTCTGAGAAGCATAACGAAGCCCGCATTCTATATGTAGTAGACGGAAATCGTATGATACTACAAACTTTCAGCTCCGTTCTTAACCTGTCTCGCTCACTTTCTTTGTCTCGCATTCCCTAAGCTTCTGCATGAACTTCAAAGCTTGCAGGTTTTAATGCGTGGCTGTTGCGGCTTCCTCGAAGGAGACTTAAGTTACCTATCAGTGTAACAATTCCCATGGTTTCTTAATGAGTTTTGTTGGCCAGTCAATGTTAGTTGGCTTGCTTTGCAGTGTCCGCACACACGGATATTCTCTTCAGCCGATTTTATTTCCTATGTTCTCGCTGTCGTAGTTGTCTTTCTTCGTTGCTATTATTACTACCCCTATTCCTTTTCTACTATCATCGTCCTCATAGAAGTATTAGATATGCTACGATACTGCCCAGGTAGCTAACTGACATTGCCCGGCTAGCAAAACTCTTCTTCATACCTAGAAGTGTTGCGAAGAAACCCTGGTGGTGGTAAACATCCGCGTGAGACCTACATCATTTTACTTCAATAACCACGTAACAGATTGGAGCCGTCTCCGAGATGACTAGACCAACCACGAGAAACCAGCAGAGGGCTACGGTGAGTATATATAGACGTACGTTATAGCCGGGTCTGACGCTATATCCACGTTGACTTTTACAGCAGCAATACCAGAATTAGTAACACAAGCCATCTCCATCACCAGATTTGAGCATGCACACTCTCAAGCACAGGATGGACTATGGAAGTTCACCAAGATGCATATTACCACCTGCATATCCAACTTATATTCATAACTGGTTATACGGCGGGCTCAGTCTTTGAACAACACCGGTTGCATTGGTGACTCTGGTTTTTCGCTAGATAGGGAACGTGGCACGCAGTCCATGAGATTGACCACCTTGGGCGTTTTCAAATGTATCGTGAAGAGGTTCGATCTTTTCACGTGGAGGAAACCATATCTGTCCACTGCTTGTCCCGAAAACTCGGAAGATTCTCAAGTTGTAGAATACGCCTACCTCATATCTAGACTTGATATGTTGCAAGGCCACTTCGTCCCTATCCAGAAAAACGCTGTGTCTAGATACCTGAGCGCATGTTGGTCGCCGCCGGTTGGGGGCTTTCTGAGATGTGTTGTATGACTTTTTTTGCCATCTTGTGAGGTCTTTCAGTTGCACTAACATGTTGCACCAATAACGGTTTACTGAGGTAGAAGTTGATAGTAGGAACAAGATGCCATTCGCGGACATCCATCATCCGTAGAATGAGGATTTTGACTCGGGGCTCCCCGGACCCTCTACCACATTTTTAATCCATAACGTGTAGTGGCAAACTGAGACTTTGTAAGTTTTGCTGGAGGTCTATACTGGCAGAAGACAATGGCGACAGTAGCTACATACTGCGACATCACAAGAGCATTCAAAGCTATTCACTGCGTACACAACTTGGTGTCAGTCTTATGTGATAACGCCAAAGCTTTGAGGGAGGCAGGCTATCTTATGTCTACTCGAAGATATTGGCGACAGTTACCTGCCTGAGTCTCCTCTTCAACCTCACACTCTCTGATGCTCTGTGCAATGTCCGGGCTCGGGACCGAGATGCCCGAGAGGAATGCGATGCCTGCTTTGGACGAGATGTGTATCTGAGAGCACGGCACTCTTGACATTAACCGTTCAACCGCTATCTGGACGGTGTGACCTAGGCCACATCCTCACCGACGGCCACCAGAAGACCTGATATCGTCTTCTGACAGCAGGCCACAGCTTCCGCAGAGTATGCTCATCAAAGCCATCAACCGCGTACCTCCCATCAACACGGGACGGGAGCGATATCACACGTCCATATAAGGGGAGTAAACGTATACGCAAAGCGACCTTCCGCAAGATCTCAGGATGTCGCTGGGCATCAGTATCAGGGGTGAGCGAGATGACTGTCGACGTGTAGTCGACTTCTCACGTTACACAAAAGGAAAGCCCCCCTGGACCCGCGACGCCTCCGCTCTTCTGGGCAGCGGCCGCCGATCGATGCTCCCATGTTCGCGGGCGGATGATGGATGATGGCCTGGCCCGCGGCCCTGGTACATGAGCAACCAGGAGGATCCTCTTCCCTTCCCTCCCCGTGCCCACTTCTCACCAACGTTCCAAACAACTTGACAACTACAACGACATGGCTCCTTCGCTGCGAAACAACAAAGTAACAACAAGCCTGTGCCGCACACTCGCCGACGGAAACTCGACGACCGGGGCCAGCTGGGGGAAGAAGAAGAGGACAGGGAGAGTACTTCGTAAGACTGCCTGCCCAGTCCGAGGTGCCCGGCCCCGCGTCATCAACTACATCCCGTTGTCTCTCCCATGCCAGCCCAGACTTGCGGCGCGCAAGGCGCCTTTCATTATCTATCCTAACCTAATGAGGTAGACGTTGAGTCGGCCGCGCTCGAAGCATGCCCGTCAACAGGCCAGGGGTTGGGCTTGCATCTTTGCCAAAGTCCCAAACGAACCAACAGACAAGAAGACCACCAACAGGGGGGCTGGGAGAAGAGGAAGTATCAAGGCAGATGAGATGGGAGGGAGGGGGTAGGGGGGCCGATGTCCAGGTACAGACCAACACCGCCAGCCAACGCACCAACAACACACCACCAGCCAGCCACCAAGGAACAACACACACACGCAAAAGTACAACACCCTCCTCCTCTCATCCACCCGGCCAACTTCACGTGTCTCCTTCGCTTCCCCTAACCAGGTTTACCCTCCTCCTCCCCCCCCCATTCGCATGCCACGAGGTGCAACCCCTGACTTCCATTGCCCCCCCTTCCCGAGGTGGCGTCCGCCGACCAATGCCTCTCCTCCGTCCGCACCCCGGTCGCCCGACGTTGCCAAACCGTTCCGCCGGGCTGCCTAACCAGCAAAGTGGGTACCCCTTACCATCCTGGCGGGTTTCTCGTTCCAACGATGTCGACGACCACCCGTCCGCCGAGGCAAACAGCAAACGTACGTACGTGCCGTGCGCGCGTGTGTATGTATCCGTATATGTGCCTCGTCTGTATGTAAGCCACATCCCAATGCAGGCTGTCGGTTCGGACCAGCACCAGGACGACAAGGGGCGGCGGCGGCGGCGGGGGTTGTTGGTCTTTTGGGCTCGCATGAGACCTGTCAGCAAGAAAGGACGGAAAGAAAGGGCCTAGATTTTCGTGTCCGAATAGGGCAGGGAAAGCGCTAGCGTCTCCACGACCTCCCCGGTCGTGATTTTGAAAGTTCATTTGGTGTCTCTCCTGGGGGTCGTCATCGCAGGCTTCTCGAGGCTTCCTTAGGTTTCAGGTGGGTGATGTAGTTGGGCCTTTTTGCTCCCCTGGTGCAGGATCGTGGCTGGGCTGCCCGCGATGGATCTTGACCGTATCAAGTATGATGTTTCTGTGAATCATTACCCGTGCTATGCGCAGGTCTGAGCCTTGCCAGCCTCATCAAGCAGAAGAATGTGCAGGCCGAAGGAACACCATGAGAAAGACGAGAAAGATCTAGGCAGCTGATACCAAGCCCCATTGCGTCCAAGATGTCCGTTATCCCGTAACTTGTGACTGATTGAGGACTTTTGTGTGTTTTGGCTGCTTTCAGAACAGACGGGAATAGGGCATACTCCGTGACCCATTCGTCACTTTCGCTCCACACTCATCCAACGGAGGTGATGGCAGCACTGGAGACCCGGGAAGTAGGAAACCCACCAACTTTGCGCAGGCATATCGGCTCAAGCGCACGTTTTCAACGACTCTGGAAGGGCGGGGTGGGCAGGCGCAGATCATCGGGGGACCTCCCGTATCCTTCGGCATCGTGGTCCAACAACCGCAAGAGTTCTCCGTCGACCGAGGACGGATACGAGATAACGAATGGCAGAGAGATACGGCCGGAATGCACACATGCGTCGTCTTCAAAGTGCCAGCCGGTGCTGCTGCTGCTGCTGCTGCTGCTGCGCTCCTTGCCCTGCCCGCAATGGAAAAGACACCACAAATCACATATATTGATGTGATAATATGACAGAAAGGGACGAGGTTGGGCGGCCGTTTTGGAGAGGAGAGGGGTTAGGATGGATGCATATGCATGTACGTGAGTGCGGTTTGAGCACACCGATCCGGGTTCTTTCTTTGTACCTCCCCCCTCCCACCCCAGCCGGTCCAGTTAGCTCGGGTTCCGTGTTCCTGGAACTCGGCCCAGCTAGCAGGAAATTGTCGGAAAGTACTGGTACAACGGGACATCAAGGGGGGGAAGGAGGGGAGGGGACGAGATGCTGCTGGCAGCGGGCGGCGGGCAGGCGGGCGTGATGGAGGGTATGGTGTGGAGATGGAGCAGTTCCATTCGAGAAAAAAAAAACCCCCCCAAAAAAACCAAGGTTTGGCTCCGCGAATGAGCTGGGCGAGTTGGACCGCCCCTCACCCTCCCAGGACCGCATCTCGGAGGTGGAGGTCGTTTTCCGCGGATGCAAGGTTGAGAAAGAAAAGAGGGAAAAAAGGAATTGTCGGTCAGCCTTGCAACCGGCCCCCAGCCGACGGCAACGCTGTCACGGTTGACCGGAGTCGCAGCATGGGAGATGGGGAGAGAGAGAGAGAGAGAGAGAGAGCCAACAGCGGTGCTGGACTCGAGCATGGGAGGAGACAGGGGGACGGTTGAACCAGCTTGTCGGAGACGTGTGTTGGCTACGTGGGCAGAGAGAGAAAGAGTTGCTGTGTGTCTGGGCTGGGGCGTGATGCGCATGAGAACGCACCTGTGACCTGTTCTGTCATATGCAGGAGGGACCAATGGCGTCGTCAAAAGTGTTGGTGGTTGTGGTTGTAGTTGATGCTGTTGCGTACTCCATGCGATGCATGGTACTGCCTTCATCGCCCATCGTGTTAGGAAATGTTGATCGATGATCTACGCGAAAGCCATGCGGTCGTTGCCCGACACAGCAGGCAGGGGAGAACGGGGTGCCATGGCAATCAAAACCACCACGTTGCATGGGGGCCTCTGAGAGAGAGCACAAAGGGGACAGAACCAACAGGCGATGGGGCTTGCGATGGTCGAGTGCGATGCGGTTGAGCATGCGGGAGTAATGTGCTCCTGCAGGGTGAGGTGGAGATGGATGAACGAGTTGTTGGCAATGAGAAAGAAACAAAAGAAAAAGAAAACGATAAACGGGAGTTTCTAGGCAATATTTCTCACCGATGTTCGGATCGAGAACGCCAGTTTGCTTTCCAAAGCCTCAATATGAAGAAGAGCGCCTGGCTACATGCCTCCAATGTTACCCACCATTCAGCCGTGCAGATGCCTCCGTGCCCGGCGAGAGCCTAACGAGACTTGGATATGGGGTCATTCATTCTGATAATGTTCGAGTCACCGGGTCTGGAAATGCAGTGATGGACGAAGGTCGCCATTAGGCCAGAGGGTCGGCCTTGCTTTATGCGGCCGTGACTTTGGGTTGCTCATATGGCTCTATTTACACGACTCCATCGGGGAACGAGGAGGAAAAACAAACGGAGGCCGTGACGACCAGCCAGGCGCGGCCCGAAACGAGTAGCCAAGATCACGCTTTCATGCCGAGAAAAAACATGCCATTTTTTCCTGCCTGCTTGCTTGCTGCCCAAGAAACCACCAGCAAGCTCATTGATGCGCCCGTCCACACCACACACATGCATGTTGATACACAATTAATACCTCGAGGAAAGATCCTCCCAATGTGAAGATAATTCAAGATGCGAAGATTGTTTGAGCTGTAGGTAGAAAATGCTTGAATTTCCCAAAACTTTTGCCAGACACAGAGGAAGTCCCCAGAATCGGCCGTGTACAAATGAAAGAGGGAAGGTAAAGTAGGCGGAAAATGCAACTGTCAGCCTTCTTCCATCCGCAACTCTGCAAGGCGAGGCTTCAGTGGCTCTCGTTGTGGCATGTGTTGGGATAATTGCAATGGCTCAGGGTATATTGGTGAAGTAAGGAAGCCAGTAACGACGAGAGGGAAATAAGGCGGATGTTGACTGCTCGCGGGGCCCTGTGCTGCAGGAGACGTCTTGGCGAAAGCTCAGATCAAGTCATGTGGTTGAGCTGGAACGGCCGACAATCACGGCCGACTCAGTACCATCTTCCGCGCCCTCAGAAGAGAACGCCCGTCTGCATCGGACGAGTGGGCATCCGCCGAGTCCAGGTTGGGTGACGTGCAGTGGCCAGTGTTCAGCCACGGAAGGCCATCCGGTGCCTTTTTTCTGAATATGCGAATTAGGTGTGATGCCAGCCGTCGTCGACATGAGAGTGTAGAACAAAATGACTCGACGTAATTTGGCTCTGTCATCTTCGAAGAGGAGAATTCGGCGCGTAGGCACTGCCTGGCATCGTCCGTTTGCCCAGCCCCATTGAATGAATGCAGGCCCCCCAGAGAACTGAAGTCCCTAGACCGAGCCCATCTTCGGCCCCCTGTCTGTAACGCCCTGTAGATACCAGGAAGGGCACCAAGGCCTCGGATCGATGCGTTTGGTGTGCATAGGAAAGTGTTCGCTATAGTTGTCCAATTGAGCGGCGTCGCTTTGAAAGATATCAAACGTGGCAGTTTTTGCTCGTCCCATTGCGGGCCAACATAGGTTTTGACGGGAGGGTGACAACAGGAGAGAGCTGCTAACGAGAGCCTGCCGCGACGTAACCAGCGAGGCCCAATCTGCGAGGGGGGATGGTTGGAGCCATCGGCAATCTGGTTTCCTCCATCTTGAAATCATTGGATCGGCTTTTGTGCCGTCCACACGTACCTGTGATAGACAATCAGTACTTGAATATACATACACACGATTGGCCGTTGCAGTTACCGCAACGGCAGTTTGCATGCGGAAACTCACATTCTGCAGTAGGCGTGGACGCTGAGCCGGCAGAGCTCCTGCTTAAGCACTTCCACGAACTGGTTTACTTGATTGGCAGTCCAGGGTTCTGGCGCGTACCGGGTGAATGGTGCCATTGTCATCGCTTGGAGGCCGTGGGTAAGCCCGAGATTGAACCAGCGGCCGAGTTCCTCCTCATGTTCATCAGGGCGCACCCATGGGTTGATTGGCAGGTTGATCACCTGCTGGCCGAAGTTTGTGAAACCCATGGATTCAAGGGCGGCCTTCGTGTCGAAGATGTCGATGGGGGCACCGAACCTTCTCATCGCCTGAGACAGCACGACGCCCCATTGGCGGAGAGGCGAATTCGGCGAAAGAGTATTGTCGTCACAACGGAAAACCCATTCGATTTCCACCTGCTCAATGAAGCCTCCAGGCTTCAGGTGCCTGAAACTTCTGTTGTACAGTTGTTGCCAGTCTCGCACGGAGCCGAGCATCATTTGCATGTGGACGAAGTCAAAGTATTGCTCAGGATACTGCCACGGATCTTCGACGTCGGCACGCACGAACTTGACAGTCGGGGGGATGCTAATGGCGAAAGGTGAGCCCACGCCATGGCTACGTTGAGCACCGCAAAACACATACCTGCCGGGTTGAATTAAGGAAAGATCGAGTCCGATGATGCTCTCGGGGGCCTTTTGGGCCCAGTGAAGCTTGCTGAGATGGTCCTTGTCAGCTATTTCAGTCGTTTGAGCGTGGGAGGTGTATCACGCAATGGGTGTCTTACTCGGCAACCTCGATCGCCCAAAACCCAGTGCCTGCTCCGAGATCGATAATGCGAGAGCCTGCTGGTGGGTCGGGAATGCTGTAGAGTGCCTTCTTTCTTGCAATAGAGATCATGTTGTGGAAAATGTCAAGTCTGTCTTGTTCCTCCTGCTCATCTTGTCAGCTTGAAGACCTCACGGAAAGGAATCATTGGAAACGAACGTCATCCACGGGAAGTAGGTATTTGCCACTACGATATCCGCCATAAGTGCGCCCATTTTCAGCATAGTCGCCTGGCACCTCTGAAGTCCCACTATTGCGCATCAGAGTCCGCGTCTTGGTACTCAGTACGAAGCACGCATGCTGCGGCCTGCCATTGAGGAGCTACATACCTTTGTTGAGACATGGCTACCATGCGTGTGGATTTTGGACAGACGGATGGCGGTGACGAATGGCGTAGCGTTGTATGACCGTACAGCCTGAAGAGCGTCTAAGAGCAGCGGTTGAGCAGCAAATACTTGACCAGACTCTGCGCAAGTTGTTGGGTTAGCGTCGTTTGAAGCTAGAGCTGCGAGGACTTGGAGAAGGGCTGGTGTATGATGTGACACTGGCGATTCTGAAACATGGAGAAAGGGGAATTGGGCTGAAGAAGTGGGAATGAGACAGCAAAGCAATTTAAAGTAGGTGCAGTAGTGAGTCTGAGAGGGAAACGAAACGAGATGACGGTGGTAGCGCGGCAAGGCGAAGGCAGCGGCAGCAGCAACCTAAGTCAATGGGATGGGAGCAGCACGCACGCACGCACAGAGCCAGGCTGGATGTCATTCATCCAGGGAAAAATGGCCACCGAGGGGCAGGCTTTTTATGGGGAATGCGACCCAAACGAGGGCGGGCTCGAGTGAGGGTGTCGAGAGTGACGGGGAGAGAGAGGCAATAACCCACGACAGATGTAACAGCGAACAGCAAGAAAAGGGGCCGATGGCTCTGGGAACGATGTAGCGGAATTGGTTGCTGCGAAGAAGAAGCTGGGTAACTCGACTTCTTGTATTCCAAGAGCCATGGTACCTTACACTGACACCGCCCTCCCTCTCACTCACACAGACACACCTCGACAACAATACACGATAGAACACTCCCGAATAGGCAAGGATTCCACCACAACTATGGCAGGGGAAAGCAAGTTGCTGTCTGTCTGTCGCTGGCATGACCAGAACAAAATTGGACAGGCAAGACAACGCCATACTCTTGCATTTGGCAGTGCACTTGCACTGATGGCCGGACGACACGCGCAGGCGCGGACGGACGCGCGCGTATACACGATTTCTCTGCTCTCGCCATCACAGCGGCCTCTTTGACAAGGTTGCTGGCGCGGGACCACGACAACTCATGGCCCAGCCAACAGGTCGGCTGAGAAGGATGCGACCAAAGAAAGAAAGTAAGAGGAGAAAAAAAAAAAAAAAACACACACACAGCAAGTCTCGTTCCGCTTTCGAATGATGGGGAGGGTGGGTGACATGGGGTCGAGGTGGTGGTAACTCGCATGCTAGGGCAGGGAGAAAAGGGCCGCGTGCTTAAAGGCTGGCCAGCGTGCGAGTACATGTACCTGCATGGGAGAGGTCGCAATCATGGCCGCCAACATGGCATAGGAGATGAAGAGTGGGAAATTGGTGCAGGTTGCATATGTATGCGTTTGTGTGTTTGTCTCCGTGAGACGGAAGCTCGTCTTGAGGTTTGAGATGGACAGACAGCGATTGAGGCGGGTGGGTTGGGCTGGGCTGGGATGGGATGCGAGGCAAGACAACGAAGGTTGAAAGCAAGTAGTTGTTGACATACCTTTGCACAGAGACTAGTTGGTCGAGATGCTGGTGAAGTGAGAGAAGACCGGGGGTTCGTTTGGGATTGCACAAGTCGAGGAGGTCGTACAGACGGGGACCGGTGCTGCGGTAATCGGCCTTTTTCGCCCTCGTCGTGTGCAGGCTGGCTCGAGGCGATAGGTTGCGAAACGATGGGCAGCGTCGCAAGAGGCGAGAACCGTTGGTCGGGTCGGGCTGAGCTGGGCTGAGTGATTGATTGATTGTTGGGGTCGAGTTCTCGAAAACGGCTATGTCAAGAAGCCTTGGCACAAGTCGTGTATAAGCCAGCCTATGAGTAGGGCCAAGTTTGTGATGAGCTGGACTCGAGACAAGGTCGTTCAACGGGCCCAAGTTTGCGATGATGAGGTGATGGTGGTGCGGCAGAAGCAAAGAAAGAATGGCAGAAACCAAGGGCAGAACCTGAATGGTGGTTGAGATTCGGGGGCCGTGTTTGAGGTCGAAGTTGAGGCCGGTCGAGGTCGCGGTCACGGTCAAGGTCGAGGTCGAGTTCGAGGTCAGGGTCGAGTTGAAGGTCAAGGCCGACGCAAGGTGATGTGATGAGGCGTGTGTGATGCGAGGTAAGGTAAGGTAAGGTAAGGCGGGCAGGTTAAGGTGTGGTGATGTAGGTAAGGTATGGAGGTGCAAGGTGTGAGAGCTACGCTACGGTGCGGTGCGTTGCGGTACGGTGCGGTGCGGTGCGGTGATTTGTGAAGATACCCAGTTGGGCAGGTCAAGCCAGCAAGCAGGTCTGGTTGGGTCTGGTTGGGTCTGGTCTGTCTGTCGGGTTTCGTTTCGGCGACGGGCGGGAGCGGGAGGAACAGCGATCTGGCGGGATGGGATGCACCGAGTATTAAAAGGAAGGGGGGAAAATGTCCAGGCCCCAGGTTCTTGTACGGATACAGGATCTGTCTGTAAGTGACGGGACGGGGAGGGGAGGGGAGGTGTCGGTCGGTAAGTGGAATCCAGGGCAGCATAAAAGCAACAGCAGCACCACCACCACTACTACTACTACTACCACGATCAGACGGCACCACTACTAAGGTACTAGGTAAGGTAAGGCACTGACGGGATGTTGTTAGATCCAGCAGGACGAGCGAGTATGGATGGCGTCGGCGTAACACCAAGGGGTGACCGAGAAGGGCCAGAGAAATACTTACGCAGCAGGGTCCTTAGAGGTAGGTACTCGACTTGGTAGCCGACTAAAAACACGGGCAGAAAGAACAGAGCCACTGCAAAGCCAGGCACTCCCCGTCTTTGACGATGAGCCCAGGTTTACCACCTACTAGGTAAGGTAAGGTAGGTAGGCAAGGCAAAGCAGGTAACTATCCGTTAAGGCAAGGTGCCTCCAGGTAAAGAGAGGTACACCAGAGAAAAGGTACCGTACCAGGTACGGATAGTAGAGTAAGGTAGCTCCAACCTGGGAAGTCGGTCTGTGTCTGTGAGCGAGCTGCTGCACTGCACCACCAAGCCAGGACAGGCCACCTGCTAAGTTTAAAGACAGCCGGTGTGGGCTCTCTGCTGCTGCTGCTGTCCTGCAACGTTGGAAGAGGGGGGTGAACCCTGGACGGCGGAAGCAATCAAAAGACGCCGATGCAAGTGAAGAACAAGCGCAGCTGCACTGCACCACGCCCGGCAGGTCCCCGTCTGTCCACAATTGTTGTATGTATGCGCCTGGGCTTGCCCCTCTCTCCCCTGTGTGGTGTTGGTGCAAAGACAAGACGCGGAAAGGATTGGCGCTGGGTGCTGCGTACTGCGTAGTATTATCTGTCTCTGTATTGTATCTGTCTCTGTCTGTCGTCTCGTCGGGGTGGTCTGGTTGGTATTGTCGATGGTGCCAAAGGCAGCAAAAGTGTACTACTGCCTTAGTATGTTGAAGACAGATTGCTCAGTCTAGCCTGTCGTCGTATGATGTTCTAGAAGAGAGGAGAAAGAATGAGAGAGGTAAAACTAGACTGCGGACGCCTCCTCTCCGCGTCTCATCGTTCGGGGGACTTCCCACTGTTAAGTACAATTAGTGGACATGTTTTTCTTTTCAAATTGTCCATCTTCGATTCCAATGCCTTTCTTTCTCTCCCCTGTCCCCTGCCCACAATCGCTCGCTGCGGTTGCCATTTCAATCATGTCTGTCCTGTCACCGCCCCGGGGCTTGGGTGGGAAGGGGAGGGGGGGACAAGACTCTCCCGAGTCTGCCTCCCACCCCTGGTGGCCCTGTGGGTGTCGATGTGATTGATGATGGATGGATGGAGCTTGGACATGACCAGGCTTGTAAATATGCAATGCCTCCAAGTCGTAGTAGTGCAAGACAGGCAAGGTCCAAGGTAGTCGATGGCCTCTCCTCCTCTCTTGTCTCCCCAGTCCTGCAGTCCTTGTCTCTCTTTTCTTCTGCTCCAAAATACCATCAGGCAGCCCCGTTCAGGCCCGGAAATACGCAAGACGTGTGCGGTAAGGGCTAGTCATCTCAACCTCGCTTGCAATTTCACCTGACCCCGGACTAGAGGTCACGATTATGACACAGCGGCCGACAATTCTACTTGGTCGAGAAACGCGAGTATGCAGATGGATAGATAGGGTCGGTATAGGTAAGGAACGGGACGGAGACTTCAACAATATTGATTAGGACGGACGAGGTCGACGAGGGCAAAGTCGTTCACGGAGGGGGGGAACCATGACATGGGGCCGAATCCACCAACAGGATCTGAGGGGCGTAGTGTAATTCAATTCGTTCGTTCGATTGCGGTAAGGGTGTGTGTCCTGTCCTGCCCTGCCCTGGAGACTGGAGGAGTCCAGTCCAGGAGTCAAGGTATGACGACGGCAACATGCAAAGGGGGATGGACGGATGGATGGATGGATGCTGGTAACCCGTCTCCCGGGGCGTTGATTTTTATTTAGCACTGGAAGATTGTGTGCATTCTGCCATGTTCCGTCCAATCCGCCAGCCCTCCTCTCGTCGTCCCCTCTCTCCATCCCACCCACCCTACTTCTTCTTCTTCTACTACTTCGTACGCAGTACCTTGGTTACAGTTCCTGAACATGTCCTTCTCCTGCCTCGGAGCTCTGCCCTAGGCCATCCCGCGGCGGTAGAAGGTACAGTCGGTACGCAGGTACCGTACACTGCGTCTGTCTGTACCTTGCTAGAACTTGCCTTACCTTAAGGTAGTGATGGCTTGGCCCCCGCTGAGTGCGAGCCTTTTGGCCCTGTGTGGCGTGTCATGCCTGAACCGTCTTAGTGCGCGGCACCCTCGAATCCTGTCTTTTCCCTCTCTGTCTCTCAAAGTCCGTTCATGTCAAGGCAAGGCGAGGCAAGGCAGACCGAAGACGCACATGGCTCTCTCTTTGTGTGTCATACGGGGCCATCCGCCCTCTCAGTCTCTGTTTGTCTGGTGCACTCATTTCCTTCCTGCGTCCAGACTCCAGCCTCCCCTCCAGAAGCCCGGTTGGGATCAACTGCATAGCCATGCAGACCACCACACTACGCAGTACTCCGCGCTACTGTACGTCTACCAGTAGGGTAGTTTGGTGGAGAGGGCCAGGGGAGGGTATCCGCCTGCAGATTTCA